GCCCCTGCTTGCAGGTTTTCAAACGCGTCCCTGGAAAGGGTGGAGCCCAATCCCCCTCTCTCCTTGAGGACTGGGCTTTGGGACTCCATCCTCATTCCTAGTCTGCCATGGTGCCCAGCAGTTACTTGATTTTAATATCATGCAATCCCAGGTCAAACCACCTGGCCCTCAACCCACAGAGAAGCTTCTTGGCTGGGTGTGGTGGCACATGCCTTTAGTTCCAGCACGTGGGAAAAGGGTGGATCTCCTTGAGTTTGAGGTCTACCAAATGGGTTCCAGGACAATCAGTGCTGTCCACAGAGAAACTGTCTTGGGGGGGAAAAAAGATGCTTTTTTTTTCTTTCTTGAAACCATTGTCTGGTATTCACTTGCCATACAACACTGTCTTTTATCAATGAACTTTTCCTGAATCTTACCTTCCTCCTGATACACCTGTGGCTGCCGTTAGTGATAGGTTTTTTTATGGCAAACTTTCAGTTTTGTTTGAAAACGTTTTGGTCTGTCTGTGTTCTGGAGAGATAGCATCTCTGGGAATGGACTTTGAGGTGGTTTTGGCCTTTAATTTTTGTTGTTGTTTTTGGTTTTTCTCTGTGACTTTGGAGCCTGTTCTGGAACTCGCTCTTGTAGACCAGGCTGGCCTCGAATTCACAGAGATCCGCCTGCCTCTGCCTCCTGAGTGCTGGGATTAAAGGTGTGCGCCATCACCACCCAGCTGGCTTTTAATTTTTTTAAATTAATTTTAGACTGCCATATAAAATTTTGTTTTTGAGACAGGGTTTCACTATATAGCCCTAACCTCAAACTCAGAGATCTGCTTGCCTCTGCTCTCCCAAGTGTAGGTATTAAAGTAGTATGCTACTATATCTATATTCTATGTGTATTAATGTAGCTGTGTGCATGTCCGAGTTGATATGTGGGTGCTGGAACCGAACTCTGGTCGTCTGGAAAAGCAGCCAGCCCTCTCAGCAATGGAGTCCTCTCTCCAGCCCGAATACTGGATTTCTTTTTTTTACATTATTTAATTTATTTATTATATATACAGTGTTCTGGATGCATGTATCTCTGCAGGCCAGAAGAGGGCACCAAGTCTCATTACAGATGGTTGTGAGCCACCACGTGGTTGCTGGGAATTGAACTCTGGACCTTTGGAAGAACAAGCAAAGCTCTTAACCACTGAACCATCTCTTCAGTCCGAATACTAGATTTCTTTCTTTCTTTTTTTTTAAATATTTATTTATTTATTTATTATGTATACAATATTCTGTCTGTGTGTATGCCTGCAGGCCAGAAGAGGGCACCAGACCTCATTACAGATGGTTGTGAGCCACCACGTGGTTGCTGGGAACTGAACTCAGGACCTTTGGAAGAGCAGGCAATGCTCTTAACCTCTGAGCCATCTCTCCAGACCGAATACTGGATTTCTTAATGGCATTTCCATATACATGCGTCATTACACTCTGTTCTCACCATGCCCCTCCTCCATCACACTCCTAGTGACTCCTGTCCCCCCTGACTGTTCCCCTTTCTTCCCTCGGAGTCTCCCCTACTTTCCTACCACTGGGGGCTTTCAGTAGGTGACTTATTTTCTGTCATTGCATTCTTTTTGTGGTCTTGTAAAAACAAGGGTGAGCTTCCCCTCCAAACTCACTGGGATTTGCCCGTGTTCTTGTCGGAACTGACAACTGGTGGGCAAATCCAATCTCTGACACCGGAGGACGATGTCATCTACGAGATGTTGCCATCCACAAGTTTCATGCCCTAGAACCACACAACCCCTCACAAAGCAAATAAAAAACAAACAAAAACTCTCATTGGAGGAGATTGGCCATATTCAGGGAAGTATGGCCTCAGCTTCACATGGCTCACAGGGCTGCAGGCTGGACACACTGAGCAGTCTTAGAAAACTACACCAGTTCTGTGTATGCCCCTATCTTATTCTGTCTCAGGAAGTCCAGCCTCACCCACCAGCCGAGGCCCTGCACCTCCTTCATTCTCTCTAGATGTCCAGGGCTGTTCTCTGGATTAATTTTCTAACCTCTGTCTCAAAATTCACTATTTTTTTTTTTTCTGGCTGGGCTGAAAGTGTTCATCTGATGTTTAGTTCATTTGTGGACACTTTTGCTTTATTATTATTTGTTTTTTCGAGACAAAGTTTCTCCGTGTAGCCCTGGCTGTCCTGGAACACACTCTGTAGACCAGGCTGGCCTTGAACTTAAGAGATCCACCTGCCTCTGCCTCCCAAGGGCTGGGATTGGTCAATTATGCACCACCACCACCCGGCAAGACTTTCATTTTAAATGCAAATTTTCATTTCTAGAAGTTAATTACTATTGTTTAATATTCTCTTATTCTCTTGAAAGGTAGCACCTTTTGTAAAATAGAGTATAGGCTGTTACTCCTTGTCCACATGTTCAAGAATCAAGTCATTACTGTCTGCTCTGACTGCTCTAGTACCCAGGTCCCCTCACGTCTTGTTTTTTTTTTTTTTAAATATTTACGTTATGTATACAATATTCTGTGTGTATGTCTGCAGGTCAGAAGAGGGCACCAGATCTCATTACAGATGGTTGTGAGCCACCATGTGGTTGCTGGGAATTGAACTCAGGACCTTTGGAAGAGCAGGCAGTGCTCTTAACCACTGAGCCATCCCTCCAGCCCTCACGTCTTGTTTTTGGTTAGCTTCTGTGACCTGTGATTCTTTCAAGCCTAGAGGAGCTCATCTCCTTGGAACTTGACACAAAACACTTTTAGCCTGTTGTGTCCTCAACTAGGGGACAAAGTCTCCTCTGAGAACAGTGAAAGATATGTCTCTAGACAGTTGGTGTTGTCACAGCTGGGAGTCTCCGTGCGCTACCAGCAGCAGAGGGTAGACTGCAGGGATGCGGCTAAGCTCGGGGAAGACAGGTCAACCTGCAGGAGATACTTTCCTCTCCTACAGCACCAGGGCTGGGGTTCCGGGCAGCATCTGAGCTGGCCTCTGCCTATCAGGACCACTTAGTTTTCCCTTGATAGTGGTGGTCATGCCTTTAATCCTTGCACTCAGTAGGCAGATCGGGAGTTTGAGACCAGTCAGCCTGGCCTACAAAATGAGTTCCAGGACAGCCAGGACTACACAGAGAAACTCTGTCTCAGGAAAAGAGAAAAAAAAAAAAAAAGCCAGTCCTCTCTTGAGGTTTTTAGGACCACACAGGCAGTCTGGCTCCAAGCCGCAAACTTCTAAGAAACTATAGAGTATTCTAAAAACTACAAACACGTTTTTCACTCTGCTGGGAACACCAAGGCTATGAGACCATGTTGGCTGGATTCCATCTCCCTCCCGATATGTGAAAGGTCTTCAGAACGTCACCCCAGAGCGTAGCTGTGCTGTCCCGTCTCTTACCTCCAGTCCTGTGACGACATGAGGAGGGGCACACCGCAAGGTGTGACAAGCACATCAGGTGGAAAGCTGCCCACGTCTTTTGTGTGTGTGTGTGTAGATGGGGCTTGAGACAGGGTCCCTCTGTGTAGCCATGGCTGTTCTGGAACTCACGCTATAGACCAGGCTGGCCTTGAACTCGGAAATCTGCCTGCTGTCTCCTGAGTGCTGGGATTAAAGGCATGGGCCACTATGTCCAGCTGTGTCTTTCTGCGGTGCCATGTGACCTGAGCAAGCAGACTCTAGTAGATGGAATAACTCGCTTGGGCAAAGCCAAGAGGAAAATAAAACTGTGACTGAGATGGCCTGGCTGTCGGAGGAGTTTGGCAAGACTCAGAGACGCTGCTGAGATCCGTGTTCCATGGGATGGGCAGTCAGGCCCTAGTGCTGGATGCCACAGTCTGTGTCTGGAGAACCTCTTAAGACTAGCCAAGTATCCTTAGGACCTGAGAATTAGGAGGGCCAAGCCACGGAAGAGAAGGGTACAGGGGCAAACCCAAGGAACAAAGAGGCCATCTTGGGGGAAGGAATGAGGGCAGACCCAATCTGTTGCCATGGAGACCTGTCCCTGGCCAGCACTGGTCTGAGATAAGTTCATTTGGGTGTTCTGAGTTCATGGAACACAACTGCCTTTTAGATCTAGCCCTCCCTCCTGCCAAGAAACCACTAATTCCTGAAGTAGACGGCTTGGGTGTTAGACTAATTTGCACCTGATTTGACATGCTTTGTAGGCTGAGCACAGTGGGGGAAATTAGACTCCAGGGTTATTTCACTACCAAATGCTCACAGTCCATACCGGGGGCTGCAGACCACAGAATTCACCCATGATGTCCCAGCGCCTTAGGTTGCAAGCACCAGGCCCCACCAGACCAACAGAGATGCCCCTCATTCAATCTGTACCCATCTGAGCTGCCAACGGGAGGTATCCAAGGATGATCAGTTTCTCCCGGGGCTCCCTGGTTCACTTTTCTGTGGCTGAGTCAATGACCACGCTGTCAGACCAAGGAGGACATTAAAGATGAAGGTGTGAGCAGATCCCAGGCCTAGGGAATCCTGCACCCTGTGGAATGAGTATATTCTGTTACAGCGCACTCATAACTTAGCTGAGAAGTCCAAACTCCCCCGTTTGGGGGGATGGGGCCTCCCCAGGAGAGGGCCACACCTGAGCTACCTTGCTGCCATCTTCCCCTGTACAGTTAAGGTAAGGCAGGACGCTAACGTAAGTAAACCAAGCTGTTGGAGCACTTCTAGGAACCGGACTGGCCTGGTCCAGCTGCAGCCAGGTTCTTTTAGAGGTTTCTTGGGCCCCATCCTTCCATCCCATGTCTCTCTTCTGCTCCTGAGTCACAATCAGATTGTCTTAGGGCCCTTGGTGGAGAAAAAGAACCCCGGAGCCAGGTCTTCCAGGCTTCCTAGCCTACCCTCAGTACAAAAACTCTACTTACTCAGAAACACCACAGTGAGCAACAGGGCAGAGAGGGACCCAGCGCAGCCAGCGGCCTCTGCTGGGCGTTACGAGAAATACAGCCCAATGTGACCAGTACTTTTTTTTTTTTTTTTTTTTTCTCGAGACAGGGTCTCTCTGTAGCTTTAGAAGTGACCAGTACTTTTTACTAAACACCAAAAATCCCAGCCTTACAAGAGGGGACAGGATGACTGTAAACATGCCCCCTTCTTTGTCCAGGGCTGCCGAAAACCAGATAAATATGAGGCACGGTCCTCTGCCATTCACTGACAATGGAGTAGCAGCTTCAGGCCTGACAGCACTACTAGGACCAGCACCCACTGTATGGTGTCAGGCCAGCCTGGGGTAAGCCTCAGGACAGCCCAGACTACGAGCGTGGAGACAGGTGCCCTCTCCAGGGCCCGGAGGGCTAAGCTCTGAGACCTTCAGTCAGAAGGCAGGCTCACAGCAGCGCCGTGGAGCTGAGGCTGAGTCCGCATGCACATCCTAGCGAGGTACAACCAGCTAGATGAACGTGGAGTCCAGAGGCCCAGCATCCTGCTGGCTGAGAGCCCGGGCCTCAAACAGCTGCTTGATGAGCGCAGACTTCTCCTGCTCCAGCTGAGTGATGCGCTCGCTCTTATCGGTCACCTCCTGGGCGGGAGCGCAGGCGGGGGGGCGGTCAGGGTTTGCAGGGCCACCAGCCCCAGCCCCATCTTCCCACACCTCACCTGAGTGAGAAGCCGGTTCTGCTCTTTCAGCATGAGGATGGTCTGCTGCTGCCAGACTGGCGCTGAGGGAGAGGAAGGGCCCAGGGGCCCCAAAGAAGACGAGGGCAGAGCCTGTGGGAGTGCACAATCAGGCAGGCCTCTTCTGGGCACAGCACCCAGAACAAGGACAAGGGGTGTCCGGGAGCCTCCAGAACACTCACTCTGCCGGAACAGGCTGCAGTCAAGAGCTCCCCCAGGCACCGGGCCACCTCCTGTACTTTGGGCAGCAACCTCCCCAGAGGGAGGGGACTCCCTGCAGTCCCAAAGTCCTGGAAGAGAAGCAGGGAACACCAGGCCGTGAGGAGACTCCTGTATCTGGCACTCCTGTTCCTCCAAAGCTTCAGTTCGGAGTCCAGAGGGAGCCCACCCGGGGCAACTCGGGTCCGGCTGGCAGGGGTGCCCCCACACTCACGGCGCCGGCTCTGCTCTGGCTCAGGCGGCGCTGACGCTCCTGCACACGCTGCAGCTGCTGCTGGTACCACTCTCGGCCGCGAGCCATCATCTCCAAGCCCTGCAGCAGCACCTCCTGCTCCTGTTCTAGCTCCTTCATCTGCTTCAGCTATAACACACACGTGCACACAGGAATGGACACGTGCCGGCAAGCAGACTGGCATTAGGCATACGTGCACACACCGGTTGTGCTCAGGGAGCCGCGGGTGTGGAAGCTGAGACCTGTGCACTGTGCACCGGCAGACCAGCACACAGGCACCAGCATCGGGTCAGCACACAGGCGGTTTGCAAATGCACACGCGGAAGCACCAGTGTATGCTGGGTTCAAACTTACGCCTTGGAGAACATAGCTCAGTTCCTCCTCTTTGGATGATGAAGGCGATAATGGGGACTGGCCTCTCTCGCACCCCTCTACTGACACTTCCCCAAGGGCAACTCAGCACCCCGTTCCTTGTGCCCTAGGCTGGCCTGCAGAGGTGAGAGCCTCAGGAAGTAGGCAGGGCAGGGGCCCAAACTCTGTCACCAGGGATCACTAAGAACCACTTTTCCACCCTCTGTCTGACTTTGCCTGTCTTCCCTCCAGCAGATTCAAGCCCAGGAGAGAGAGATTCAGAGCTAACCAGTTCTCCTACAGGGGTTCCCCAGGTAACCAGACTCGTGGTTTCCAACCTTCTGGACAACACAGAGAGTCCCTCAGAGTCATGGCCCCTCTCACCAGGCCACAGTCCACACCGTTGGTGATGGTATGCCTTCGACGTTCGCCTCGAGCCCGTGGAGCCTGCCGAGCTTCACCTGTGCCTACGTCCAGGGTCTTGCAGGATGCTGCGCCTGTAGCAGACAGTTGGGGTCACTGCTTAGCTCTGGGCCTGCTTAATGGGCTCAACATCTCATTCCAGTTCCTCAGCCCGTCCAGGACCCTCTAGCTGACATAAACCCCAGGGGCCAGGGCTGTCCTGGGAACCTTTGTCATCCTGAACCGTGAACTTGCTTTATCTGTTGACTTTGTACCTGGCTGGGATTCGGTCTCCTCTTGCCTGCCCTGCTTCCCTCACCTGCCTCAAGGAGGGCTGTGAACTCCCTGAGGGGTCAGGGAAGGGCATGAATACAGCTCTTTCCTGCACTTCTCCCCCAGTGCCTGAAAAAAAACCCATAGTGGATACCTCTCAAGGGTATCAAGGGGTGACGTGTAAAAGATGAGATGGTAAGGCTGGGGCGTGGTAGTGTACTGTGCCTTTAATCCCAGCACGCAAGAAGCAGAAGCAGGCAGAGCTCTGTGAGTTCAAGGCTTGCCTGGTTTACATAGTGAGTTCCAGTTCCAAATATAAGCATGTCGAGAGATCTTGTCTCAGAAAAAGAAAACAAAGAAACAAGGCATGGACCGGCAGAACCCTCTGACTTGTCCCTCACCTTTCTCAAATGCGTGGGGCTTTGTGGCACAGCACGGGGTAGCGAGGGAGCCAGTCCTCCACTGGTGATGGAGACGTAATTCTCGCCCAGAAATAACCACAGTATAAAGCAAGTTGTGCATATATGTGCCATAGACCCCTGTGAGCATCATCTGGAGTGCCTCCCCATCTACCAAAAGTAGGGCACAGGTAGAGAGCAGGGTGTCTGCCCCCAGCCCTCTATCCCTATCCCTGGCATCAGGATCGCCCCTGCGGCTGTCATAGGAGTGACAGAGACAATAATTATGCTCGGCTGTGCATAACAGAGACTCTAGTTCCAAAGCAGGCCCCAAAGTTCATGTCCCAGCCTGCAGTTTCAGGGTGAGGCCATGGGAGGTACACAAGGATACTGCCTCATGAAGGTGGGGCCAGAGCAGGTACCGGCAATGAGTTCTAGGAAGGAACCCTGTGACACTTGGATCTGACTTACACAGGAAGGAGGCATAAACCTCCTTCCCACAGGGTTGGGAATTTGAGGCCATAAATGTGTTGGGAGGACTCTCCCATGCGGGTGGGGGCTAACGCTGTTCTGTGGCTCCTTCAAAGCGAGCTTTGTGTCAACCACACCGTAATCTTTACTGGGTCTGGGTTGACCTATAAAGGAGTTAGAGCCAGAGCCCGGCCTTAGGCTTACAGAGCAGTGGGCTAAATATTACTACACTGTGGGCCCTGAGTACATGACCTTCAGAAGTAACTGAGCCAGGGCCACTGAAGGTTGAACAGATCAGTACCACAGGCAAACTGTGAGCCTGTTCATTACACAGTCCCTTCCCAGGGCTGACTTCAAACTCACAGCCACACCAACCATGTCCAGAAGTCTCCCCTACCACAGAACAGGGAGTCAGGGCTTGAACATGTGGAGCAGTCTCTCTCTCTCTCACATACACACACAATGTATGTGTTTATATCAATTCACAAGGGAGGCAGTAAAACATGGCTGAGGCAGGAGAGGTCCAGTGAGGCTGGCAGAGCAGTGGCCAGTGGCAACATGGACTGGCAGCTGCCACCAGTGGGCAGCCCTGCACCTGGTAGTGCTGTGCACAGGATGAATGGGCTGCAGGGCTGCAGAGGGGCCCTGGGCTCCTCTGAGAACCTGCCTCCACGCTTAGCTATAATGCAGGTCCTGTTCTCGAGGCAGACAGGGGGCTATTCAACAGTCTCCTGTCCCTGCCAACTAGACCGGAAGGAGGGAGAGGAGCCTGCTGGATTCCCCAGAGACTGTGGTCTGTGTCTGGCCAGGGTGTCTGCAGCAGGTGCTGTAGGGCACATACACCCCTCAGCATCCACACACCCAGCCTTCTTCAGCACTTGTGCTGGGTGCTCCCGCAACTCCTCTGACTGGGTGGAGAAGCAGGCTGGGTTGTCTCTGCAGGGTGTCACACTGAAAGGACCTCCAGGACAGGTTAGAGGATGCTTTTAGGAAGAAACTTGGGCCCAAACAGCCACACAGAAACGAGGATGCGAGCCCAGATGTCCCCAGGTATAGGGCAGGTACAGCAGGGAGCATGTCTCCTCTCACCGCCGCAGATGCTCCAGGACCCAACTCTGACTTAGACAGAGTGGGCTTCTCCTAGGTGTTCAGAATTATCGACCTGCCCTTGGCCCTGGTATCAGGCCTCTGACCGCAGCTCACACAGGCACAGGCCGAAGCCCCCTTCCATCCAGGTGGTTCCAACCTTGTTTTAGGCTCTGGGGCCTGCCCATAGTGGTTCCCATCTCCATCCCTCTTGAGGAGGCCCTGCCGGTCTCCAGTTTCCAGCACATGTCCCAGGGATTAAGAGGTGGGACTGGGGGGCCGCCCAAACTCACCAGCGTCTGCGCTCGGGCTCCGCTCCAGGGTCTTACTCAGGAGTCGCTCGGGCTCCTTGGGACAGGGTGCCGCCTCCGCGGGGACACACAGTAGCTCAGGGTTCCGGGAGGTGCCACTGGGGTCAGCAGGCGCGGGGCGCGCACTCGGGGGCAGAGGCTTCCTCTCCAGGACAGTCCGCGGCTCGTCGGCCGGTACGAACATCAGGCGCTGCTGCAACGAAGGCTGGTCCCCAGACCGGGGAGCGACGCGTGCCTGATCCCTCGGGGCACTGTTGGCGTTCAGCAGCGAGGTGCGCAAGCCCGCCACGAAGCGCTCGAAAGTCAGGTAGCCATTGGCCGGGGCCACCTGGCGCAGGCCCTCGAGGACGCCGCAGGGCAGCTCGCGCGCGTCTGCTCCCTGCCAGCGGGACTCGATCTCGCGCAGGTGCACGTAGCCGCGCTGCCGGTCGTCCAGGATGTCGAAGAGGGTGCGCAGGCTCTGGAGGAAAGCTCGCGGCAGCCCCTCCGTGCCGAGCGCGGGCGCGGCGTGCGGTAGGCGGCCACGCTCGGCCATCGCTGCCACGGCCATGGGCACCCAGCTTCCATCCGCGTCGGTCCCCTACAAGCCCAGAAGGCGGGCCCTGCACGGCACGCGCGCCCCGCCACAATAGCTGCTGGTTTTTGAATGGAGCTCTCCTCGCCGCCGCGTCAGCTCGCATTAATATTCACGGCGGCCATTGGTCGAAACTGGCCCATCTGCTCCGGGATTGGCTCGGAAGCCACCAGTCCAGTTTGATTTTTCCTACGGTAGGGGCGGGCGCCGCCAGTGCGTGGGACCCGGGAGATGTGACCAGGCCCCAGCCGAACCGGCTAGGGTTCCCACCTCCGCTCCCCACGTTCCCCCTGCCTCCACGCCCACTACCCACCCCTCTGGCCTCGGTGGAGGCTTTACTCCAATCCATTTGTGCCCCGCCCTGCCAGTCACTTTTCTGAGGGCGGAGCGTGGCGCCCTGCACAGATCCTGTACCCAGGTAGCCTCACCCGTAAAGATGGGAAGGTCCAGCCCCTCCTGCTCCCTTTGGTCCTTTTCACTGAGAGTCCCCTGGCTCCAGGCGCCCATTGACTCTGGGGCTCCCTTCTCTTGCATCAGGAATGCCCCAAGAGGATTATAGGCTCCAGACAGTTGGGCGCTCTCCTTCACTGAGGCCTCTGTCCCTACAACTGCCAGTTCTACCTTTGGTCCTTTGGGACCGTCTGCCTTGTCCTGCCAACTGTAGGACAAAGCCAAATTGTCTTGTGTCCCCAGATGCCCATCCGGTGATCAGCTCCCTTGGCGTTCTGGATCTGGTCCCCTACTCGGGCTTGCTTGCTGGCTTGCTTTTTTTCTATTGTTCCTTCCTTCCTCCTCCCTCCCTCCTTCCCTCTCCCTCTCTCTCCTTCTCTCTCTCTCTCTCTCTCCTCTCTTCCTTCTCCCTCTCCCTCCTTCCGTCCTTCCCTCTCTCTCTCTCTCCCCCTCTCTCTCCTCCCTTCTTCCTTTCCTTTTCCCTTAGGGTCCCTTACCCCCTTACCAACTCCTTTGCCTGTCCTCTATCCTCCACCCGGTCACCTTCCCAAACTTCCGAATGTCACAGAAACAGAAACTGAGAACAGTTGCCACTGAGACAGTCCATACGTTAACTGCTGCTTCTACTTTCTAACCACACTGGCACACTCTTCAGCAATGTTGTTGAAAGCCTCCAGACAGGCCCTTTACTCGGGACCTCGCTCCAGCCCTTCTGGACAGGCTTCTAATAGGTGTATGTCTCAGGCATGGAAGCAGCTTCCCTGACCAGCTCCCCTGACTCCACATTTCTAGAGGTTACTCACTCAAAATTACTTTTCTTTGTTTGTCCTAAGACAGGGTCTTACTATGCAACCTTGGCTGTCCTGAAACTTGCTGGTAGACCAAGCTGACCTGGAACTCAGATCTCCTGAGTGCTGGGATTAAATGTGCACACTACCACACCCATCACACTCAAAATTGTGCTTCATTCATGGTAAGGTGTTTTGGCAGAGGCCTCTGGAGCGTAGCTACTCCTATAGGGGCAGACCTAGTCAAAGACCCCTCTGGGGTTTCACATTTTCCTCCCCTCATAGCTTGCCTAGTCCTTAGGGTGTTCATCATGTACCCTTACTTTCAGGCTCTGGGCTGCATGTAGAGGACCATCGTCATTGATTGATTACTATGAACACTTCAGACCTTTCTCAGGCACCTGCTTCCTCTGCCCCAAAAGTCTACATAGATGTTTTTACCTCTCATGCCTGACTGTGTGACTGTTTCCTCATGAATTTTGATGTTTGGTAATAGGACAGAGCACCCCAAGGCCTGGCATTGGCACTCAGTGGATAGTGGGCACACAGGAAGCTTTGTTTGGTAAGGGAATAGTGCAAATGCAGCAGAACACCAAGCCAGGATGAGGCCTTGGGCATTCTCAGGACCCTGCATAGGTACCAGCGATGGAGTAACTACCAGCATCAGGTGAAACCAGTGCTGCTCAGTACAGCAAAACCAACAGGTTCAGGCCAGGGCCCCGGGTGAGCCTGAGTCCACTAGCAGAGAAGATAAACGCCTGCCCTCTTGGGGAGGTGGAGCTCATAAGTCCCACCCCTTCCTAGGCAGTTAATAGTTTCTGGGGGAGGGAGGGAGGGTCCTGTTTCTCAGCTGTGAAGCCACTAGCAAAATGCCTTTGCTCCTGTAAAGAGCCTCCAACTGGTGTTTGTGCCGACAATTCTGATTAACTGCAGTGGGTTTTTCTGTCTCTCACACACACACTTTTTTTTTTTTGATACAGTTTCTCTGTGTAACAGCCCTGGTTATCCTAGAAGTCCCTTTGTAGACCAGGCTGACCTTGAACTCACAGAGATCCGCCTGCTTCTGCCTCTCAAGTGCTGGGATTAAAGGCCTACATAACCACTGCCTGGAACACACACACACACACACACACACACACACACATTCTCCCACTCTCACTCTCTCTCTCACACACACACACACACACATACACACACTCTTTCACACACACACACAGACATGAAAGTATGGGGGTCCTTGTTGGGAAGAAGAAAGGATTTGGTAGGAGGAAAAGGGACTAAGAGAAGATAACAGGAATATGACCAATGAACATTACATATGCATGAAGTTGTGAAAGAATAAATTAATTTCAAAAAAAAAAGAAAGGACATAAGAGCCTCTCATTGTCAAGAGCCCAGGAGAAGGTAGGTCTGTAGGTTTCCGTAAGACTGACTATTGGGGAACGATCAGGAAGAGCGTGGACTCAATGCCCAGCTCTGGGTGCAAGACGAAGGTGTGCTGCCCTGCATCTTTTCTGGCCTGAACTCTGAGGACTTCCTCCTTCCATTCTTCTCCCAGCCTGGCCTCACACTCTTCCTGCCCTATGGCTTTCAGTTTTGCTGCCCACCAGGGAACTTCCAGAATCCGGAGCAGGTGTCCCTTTGCCAACCATGACCCTTGGACAGAGGTGTGCAGGATACAGATGGCTGTGAGGTTGGCAAGACTCCGACGTCTCTTGGAGTAGCTCCCACTTGTGAGGAGAGAGGCCGGCTGTGCTGTCTAGCCCCTACCCTCCCTCGGCTTCTCTGGTGTCCACTTAGGCCTTAGTCATAGGCCCTTGACTAAGTAAATAGGTAAATAAAACAAATAAACCAAAATACAGGAAAAGTCACCTCCCCCTGGCAGGCAATACAGAGAGTTGGGTCCAGCAGGACTTTGCCAACCTCACAGCTTCACCAGGACTCAGTGACAGGTACCTCTGCCTGCCCAGGGAGGCATAGTCTTCTGGTCTTGGAAATGCTCTCAGCTATACAAACAGGTGTTTCCAACCTCTGACCTTGATCCATGCCCACACCTTGAGGCAAAACTTAGGAGCCCATCCAGACTTAGAGGGCTCATAGGTCTGCCCAGAGGCTCATGCCCTTCTTTCTCTGCCTTGCCCCAAAGGCAATAATGGCTGCCACGGGCTCTGGCCTGGGATGTGAAGCCTATGCTGCTCACCTGACTCCTGTCTGGCTGCTGTTTCTCCTTCCACGCATTTCCTGGAAGTCACACCAGGACAGACTCTTTACTCATTCATCCCTTCAGCCAGCACTCACTGAACCATTTCGCTGTGGTGCTTGACTTGGGATCCAACACTCATTTGTTCAGTACACAAACACGTCCCTGTGTCTGCCCATCGTGGAAGGAGATAGAAGGAGACCAACAAACGGAACCGTGTCCTGTCTCTCCCTCTGGGAGTACACTTCCCATGGAGAAGTCAGGCAGAAGAGAATGGAAGAAAGAGCTGTGAAGAAGGGTGTTCAGATGGGAGCAAAGCCATTTATTGCAAACTACACTGTGGCTGTAGACAAGAACCCTGTCTGGTCCAAGAGAATTTGTGGCCTCCATTCTTGCTTTGTTTTTATATACAAAAGACTATGTAAGCCGGGCGTTAGTTGTGCAAGCCTTTAATCACAGCACTGAGGAGGCAGGGGCAAGAGGATCTCTGAGTTCAAGGCCAGTTTGGGTTACCGAAAGAGTTCCTGGAGAGCCAGGGCTACACAGGAAATACCCTGTCTCGAAAAGACAACACACACAACACACACACACACACACACACAGGTTTTATGGAAAATCAAAATAAAGCAGGAAGGGGTTGCAGAGCGGGTCTGGAAACCAAGTCCGTCAAGGTAGGCAGGTGAGGTTAAATGGATACAGGTTAAATGGATACTGGGTCCAGCCTCCAAGTGTCCCAGAAAGATCGCCCGCCCGAGGGGCTTCTCGGCGAAAGTTTACACGATCAAGCAGCTCCTCTTAGGCTCAGAATCTATCAGGAAAGGCTCCCAGGCCTCTCGGCTGTGGATGTGCAGGAGGGTGGGTTAGGTCTGGTCAGCACAAGAGAATACCCAGCCGGTGCAAGTCTCTTTCCTCCCCTGGGCACGCATAAAATAGCTACGCCCACATTGGAGGCGTGGTGGGAGATACTTAGTAGAGAAACGCCTAGGCCTTGGGCACTAGGAGGGTCTGTCCTGGACCGAACACCTTAAGCTTGGGGGCAGGGGTAGAAGGGATCTGGGGTCTTATGCATAGTTTGGAGCGCAGTTAGACGGAGATACCAGATTGCGGGATTCAAGTCTAGGAACCCCGGAGGGGGACTGTACTAAAAGAAATTGAAGAGGGGCGGGGCCAAAGAGGACCGAAGCCCCAACGGAGAAGAGGGCGGGGTCCGGGTGGAGGGGCTGCGCCCTGGGCCGGCCTCTCTGGGATCTGCGCCTCCCGCCTGAGGTCTCGTGATGTTGGTCATAAGGTCTCGAGTACCGACTGAGCCAGCAGCTGCGGTTGGAGCATGGCCGCGGAGCAGGATGTGCGAGCACAGCTGCAGCGCGCTGGGCAGGATCATCTCCTTCGCTTCTGGGCTGATTTGGCTCCGGAGTCTCGAGCGGCGCTGCTGGCGGAACTCGCCTCACTGGAACCCGATGCCCTGCGTGAGCACTGCCAGCGCGCCTCGGCTGCCTGCGCGCTAGTCCCGGGCCCTCTGCCGGACCTGGAAGCGCGCCTGCAGCCCCTACCCCCAGAACTCGTGGGCAGCGCGATCCGCTGCGACCAAGAGACACGCCTGCAGTGGGAAGAGGAAGGTAGGCAGCGCCACTCGGGGCGGAGGGGGGTTGGGTCAGCTCTGCCCGTCGCGTCCAGTAGAGTTAGTGCCTACGGGGAAGGGGAGGGTGGCGGTTCAGGAAGTGCTGTGTGGAGTTATTTTCCTTGCACGTCCTTCCTCCTGCGCTTAGTAGACCCCGAAGTCGTGCAGTAGCAAGCTCA